ATGTCAACAGTGGCATTCTTATTGTGTGTTACCTGGTCAGTGGTGATACTTAAACCAAAGCATTGTAACGGTTTGACAGCGTATGTAACTTGTACCATTATGCACTTCAAAGAGTGAGCTATTTTTTTATATGGCATTTATTGGACATGATTACTGGTACTGGTGCTGTTTCATGGTAAAAATAAAATTATAAAATAAATGACAAGTTGGTTGGTTGAATTCAAGATGGGACAGCACTATTATGAAAATTGTTGAAATGTTATTGTTGAACATGCTTGTTGCTAAGCAACATTTGACAACTGCTGTTAGAGTAATTAGTGTAGTTATTATTTAAGTTTTATTCATTTATCTTTTTGTTTCACCAACAACAACTTTGATTATTGGTATAAATTATTAAAATTGATCTTAGACCCAAAATATTTTCTAAATTGTTGTATATCTACAACCTATGCTGTGTATTTCTGTTAAGCTGTGAGTCATGTAGTTGATTAATTTGCATATGATTATCATAAATAATAGGATAGCATGTTTCACATTTAGCATGCCTATAAGGCCTGCCCAAATTTTTTGTTAAAAATTTGGTTAATCTTCACAGAATGAAATGTCTTTTTTTTTGGAATGCAGATTTGTTGTGTCAGTAGTGTCCGGCTTGACAGGCCTAAACATGTTGTTTCTCCTCAGCGTTATTCTGTAATTACATAACAGATCTCGACAAGGACGTAGATTGCATCATTGGAATGGTGTCTTAAATTCTTGAGTTCTCCCAATTAATAGTGTGTTTTGAACTGTTGAATGGAAGCTCTGCAAAAGTGCAGAGACTTAAGATAAGAATAATTGGTGGGCACAAATATTTTTGAGAATTCAGGAAAAAAATTAATAGTGGCAATTACATAATCTTGCGCTTGTACTATAGTTAGGCCGGCCTAATTTGAGGATTAAAATTAGGCCAGCCTAACTTGGGCATTAAGATTAGGCCGGCCTAACTTTGGGATTAAAATTGTGGCTGGCCCTGGCACCCCTTCCCAGGTGTGACTTATTTAAGTCAGTCTAAATATTTAGGTTTGTGTTCGCAAACAAAATTTAGTCAAGCTTAAAGTGCCTGTGAAATGGCTGCTATTTTCACGCCTAAAATTATCCATTGATACATAAATATTATTAATTTTTATGTTTCTAAGCATAAATAATTTTTTTAAGTGAAAAAATGTGTTTTTAACTCAGTCTACAGAAACTTTATTTTTGTGTATTTTAAAATGAGGCTCCTCATTAGCTTCTCATTTGCATACAGAAATTCCCCTTGTGACGTCAGAAGGGGAAGTCGCTGGGCAGCTTGCATTGCCGATACGTGTAAATAAGGCAAATTTCTTGTGCTGTTTTCTCGTCTTTGACTAAATTGCCACTTATGTACTTGTTCGTCAATGAAGAATGGACCATAATGAACACATAGTATCAAGTTTGTTGCATGGGGTTGAGTCAGATGCAAAATATGTCCGGTCTGGTGTCGCTAGTCACCGTGGTCGTCAGCGTCACCGGAGCACGTTTGTACACTGTCACTGGACTCCGGCATTGAACAAAATCGAATTTGACGGCTGAATCGTCTTGTTATTTAGCAGGTTACTAGACACTATTGATTTATAAAATAGAGAAATAATTTAAAAAAACGACAAAACACAGTTACTAAATAAATGACTGCTGCGTTGTAATGGGTGATCGCGTCGGGTCATGAGGGGGACAAGTGCGTGAATGGCGGCGTTTAATTCGATAACAAAAATTATTGAGAGCGACTCACATACAGACAAATTCAGAGTGGATTTGGCGTGATTTTCATGATTATGACATCAAATTAAAAAAATACATTGACAGCTCAAAAGCCCGGATTCTTATTCCGTAAATTATTACATTCGACATTCAACACCAATAACCGAACAATTCAGACACTTTTAGCCTGCGAAAATGAAAACAGCCTGAGGGCTGCGTAATTTCCTGTTTGTCCGACGCTTCGTTTTCGTGTCATTATCAAAATTACTGCTACCTTTTTACATAACACGGGTGATCTCTATAAAGCGATAATCAGGATCGCAAAAAAAATCAAATCATTTGAAACACATACTCAGCGTCTCTCTCCCTTCTGAAATCCGTCTCAGTGATCATGGGCTGGTCCGGAATCTATTTTTTCGAAAACTTTTGTATTGTCGGCGTTTCTCGTTAAAACCTAGTTGTTTTGTCCTGGACAAGGACAGTTTTTCAAAAAAAAAAGAATCTGGGGTACTTTACTTCCTATGTCGACAGCAACTATGAGTTTAAAAAAAAAAAAAAAATTATTTCTCAGTACTTATTCACTGTTAAAATGCTGTACCATTACTTTCACCATCCTACTACAGCCAGATCTGAAGGCCTTTGCCGCATTCTGGCCATGCTGTGTGGCGCGTATCGCGTGGACGGGTTTATATAAATATAGAAGCTAGGCGATTAGGTGCCGTACGCGAGCGCCGGTTCGAGTCACGCACGCAGTACGTATTTACTATAATTAGACATAGTCTTTACCTTGCCGTTTATTCGGTGTTATTTGCTTACTTTACTTCCTATGTCGACAGCAACTATGAGTTTAAAAAAAAATTATTTCTCAGTACTTATTCACTGCACATGATGCTGTTAGGAGGAAGTCCAACCCAACCTTTTCTCGTTATTTTCACGGCTTTCGTCCACCGATTTCGCACCTTCGAATCGATTGGAAACGTGGAAATACTTACACTATGACTATACGCATTACTGCAACCGGCCACAACACAACGTTTAACCATCATAAAAGTTTGTTGTGAAAACAACTTCTAAAAATTCGCTCTCTCAAAAATAAAATAAAATAGACAAAAGAAATGCCGATTAAAAAATGTCTATCGTTTAAAAGTACAGTTGTACGTTGAATGACACAGTGATATAAAAGTACGGCCCAGGGGTATGGCTTCCTCTCATATTTTTGCATTTGGTGGCGCACTTTCGGCGAGAGTCGGAAATCCGGAAACAGTCGACCGTTTCAGGATAGGTGGGCGTGGCTACAGCACAGGAAATATCTCAAATTTACTTGGATACGAGTAATCATTTTCAGCAAAAAAATCAATAATTGCCCATTTCAGTGGGGCACAGATCTAAAATGGGAAGCGTGTGGGTGGGCATTGCACAGGCACTTTAAAAGTTGGTTAAGCCTGCCTTATTTTCAATATTGTCTATTGGTCTTCCATTTAAGCCTTACACACCACATATACTCACTAGATTAAAAATACAGTGGAAAACAAGACAGATAAACAGTGTAAACAACATAAACAATTGTCTCATGATTCCCTGATGCAATCCCTTGGATTTATGGGTTCTTTGGGTTAAGGAAACATATGGGCAATAAAAATGATATTCATAATAAATGGTGTACATTTTTATTTTTGCACAGAATAACACAGAATATGTGACAGAGTAAATTTACAGTATGTAAATATAAGAAAACATCCACTAATTACAATTAGTAATTTCGCCCTTGTGAAATTATTTTTTTTATTTCACTTTTATGATTTTTGACAAATTTTGTGATTATTGACGCATGGTACTGTTTGTTCAGAGTGTTGTTCAGAGACTACTTAAACTATATAATATTTTTCAAATAAACAGAGTTTGCATGCAATTTAATATCAGTGGTGTAATTAATTGTTTCCTAATGCCTGAGATAGTACCTGAGATGTCATAAAGTGCCTCAGTATTAACTAGACTATATGCAGGTTTATAAAATGTAGCATTTTATTTATTGTCATACAGCCACCTTCTCATTATTTCTAACTACAGTCACATTATAATCCCATTTTCATAATAACTACCAGCAACACATGTTGCTCATATCTCAATGTCAGTTGTACTTTTCATAAGTGAATAAAGAGACTCATATTTTGGCAAAGCTTTGAAACATGCCTTCGCAATTCCCTGGTCTGCACCTCAGATAACAATAAATATCTGAGATTACACCAATGCTTAACATTTTACATACACTATTGTCATGCTTTCATTCACAGTAATTTTGAAAAGTTGCATGGCTGTTTAAAATTCTTGTCATCTTTTAGATGAAAATTGTGTTTAAACCTCACCCAGCTAGTAAACTAACATCAAAATCATCTACATAGTTGTTTATGACTGAAAAATAAAGTGTTCCAACATTTTGATTATTAGAATGAGCCATTTTAGTAGAGCTCTCAAACCAGATACATCTATGGAGTGTGATTTGCACATTGAAATCTGGTCACAATCTTTTTTTTTTAAACCATTCTTTTTCATTGTAATTTAAACCCTGAATCATTGTAGTAAAGTATCATCAGTTGGGGGGGGGGGGGGTGGATATTTGAAACATGCGCTCAGTAAACAGAATCTTTTTGTTCAACATTCAATCCCTTAAATTAAAGTGAAAGAAACAGAACAAATATAAAAAAAAGTGAGTATTTGTGTGCTCAGTAATTTAATTCATCTTTGAAAGTGATTATGTTTGTTGTATGCATATTTTAATTATCCCTTACATTCCTACTGGTTTTGCATTTCTGTTGTATATTTATCACTCTGTTTTTGATGAACTGCTATCTAATCTGAGAGAAAGTGCAGTGTTTGGGGTCACCATAGCAGTCATCCTACTACATGTATAGAAGTATGTTACCATAGTAACTACTCTTGATTGTAATTTATAATTTGTTTGCCATTTTACTACTATAATTTATGTTGGGTGTCTGAAATTGATTAATATGCATGTAATATGGTATGTGTAGCTGTGATCTTTTTGATAATATTGATAATACTGCCACCATCACCAAATGGTATTACTCAATACAAATATACATGAAAACATGTGTATTCTATCTTCTAGTAGTATTATCAAATATTCATTCATTGAATTTAATTATTATTATTTGTAGATTTTCAAGTACTATATATTTGTTGGTGAATTGAAAGTTAAAAAATTATCTTTTTTTTCATATATATAGTTGATGTCCATGGTGGATGATATGCTGGCAGAAGTTAATAGTTTAAAAAATGAAGCTGTTGACTGGAAACAAAATATCAAAGACCTGAATGAGAAGATGGAACAAGTAAGTGCATCTTGTTGTATATTTACTGTGTGTTTGTAGCTGTTTGTAGCTTAATTCGTTCAAAATGCTAATCAAACCCTGTAACAATTTTGTCAATATGATCAAAAATTATCAATGGAATTTAAGAAAATTGCAGAAAAGGTTACAAACATTTTTGTGAGAAACAATTATAGCATTCCAAGAGTTAATATCGCCAAAATCAAAGATGGCATCAGTCAAAACAAAAAGAAAGCATATTAACATGCATGTCAGATCACTGGTACCAGTAACTTTAAAACCGTTGGTCTAAACCCAATTCAACCAAATTACCAAATTTGTGAATTTCACTGTGACTCATTTTAAGGCTAATAAAAACCAGAAATGTATTAATGGTCTTTTTTCCAAATTAACATTTTCTGCAATTTTATCCTGTGTGAGAAATATGAATGAATAATTTATAAAATTCAAAAACAATTTAAAAAACAATGACTATAGAACACACAAGCACTACCCCGGCTGATGAATTCAGTGGAAATGATATGCATTTGTATACACATTGGATGATAGGTGAACATTACATATGATATCAATAACATTTATATATTTCTTTCACAGTTGTCTTCTCAAAACATTGACAAAAGATTATCTAAATTAGAATCATCAACACCAAACAAAGACAAATTAGATGAACTACAGAGGCTAATTGTAAGTATGACAGAAGTTTATAATATATATATATATTCTTAGTGAGACAAAATCATTTATAAATATTTATAAATTGCAATGATAGTTGAATCCAGCCAGCCAATCAAGGAGCACAGCATGCAACCACATCATTTGAATGAAAACATTCCAGTGTCATTCAATCGACCAATAGAAACCTATTGTTTCAGTTTGACTGTATATTATCAACATATATAAATTTGGTTGTTCAGAATTACCTCAAAGTTGAGTTTTCTGGGCTTTAGCTGTTTTCGCTTGCACTTCAACCGGCGTTCCACAGCAGCTCACACAGAGTTCAAAGAAGTACAAGTTACAGTGGTGCGCATCCAAGCAACATAGATGGTTTGGTGACGTAGCTCTGCCCCTGAGAATTGAACTACCATAGACAGAATACTATCATACATTATACCATAAGTTATAAGCTATAAGTTTTTTTAAATTAGGCATTGGCTAATTAGCGAGTGAGTTAACTCTTTTTGCTGATGGCTGTATCAATGTAAAATAAAAACCTGTGAAGAACAAATTCTTTCAAATGTCACGAGTCAAGGAAAAATTGTGAACAATTGTCTGCAGTTAAAATCTTCGAGAGACTCTTCAGACTTGAAGTCACAGCAACTTTTGTGACATTTTGTTTCTGTGGATACCCTAAAAGTACAAAAGCAATTTGTGACGGCAAAAATGTGTCAGTCTAGCTGTGAAATTTGTAACAAAGTAATCAACAGTAAAGATTAACATAAATGTTAATGAGTTGATAGGCATATGATGATGTTAGTTTGCAGACGCTGGCATCTAAGAAATAAGGGGTTTGCATTAAATTGACTTAATTGTCCTTTTTTCTCATAGAATGAGTTGAATGAAAAAGTAGAGAATGTGGCATCAGCTGATATGTTGGATGGTTTTGTTACTTGGCCTGGCTTAGAAGATGCATTGAAAGGAATTAGACAGGATCCTATTATGGTTTCTAACCAAGTGACACAGACGACTCAGGTAGGATGTGTTCAGAATTTAGAATAATAACACTCTATACTACATGGTAGTGTCTTCAAGAGTTGATTTCAGTTCTCAGCTTGAAACCTACTCACTTACTCTAATACACTAGTCTATCTATCCATGGCATGCATATTATCATGCAAGTTTTTTTGATTGTATTAACAGACTAACATATATAATATAGTCACTTGTTTCTCTCTCTCTCTCTCCGTCTCTCTCTCTTGGTTCTGTATGCAGCATGGAAATAGCACAACTAGTAATGTTAATTCTCCTGAAACACCTCAGTTTACTGGTAGTAAACATCACATTGATTCTACTGATACACCTCAGTTTACTGGTAGTAAACATCACATTGATTCTACTGATACACCTCAGTTTACTGGTAGTAAACATCACATTGATTCTACTGATATACCCTTGTCTACTGACACACAACTCAGTGATTCTGGTTTTAGTTCTGTACCTAATGTGGTAATAATTAAGTCATGATTTCAATACTCATATTAAAATTATGGACAATTAGCGGTATCTGTTCTCTAAACATCTTCTGCTGCATGTTTTCTAGTATTCAATGATGCACCAGTGTTTTTCACTGTCTGTCTTGGTTAGTCTTGTTTGTTCATAAGATAAATTGAGGCTAATGGTTATAAGATGCCTGTAGTCATTAGAATTATAACTCATATAGTCAACAGCTTCAGACAATGTGACGCATACTGTAGACACGTTTCTACTTTCAGTAATTACACTGTCACATTATAGAATAATTGCATACTGACTATTCACCATTCTTGGCACTCACAACTGATTTCTAGATACTAATGAAGTGATGACAGTTTAAGAGAGATGTTTTCCTGTGCATGCCTTCTATAATTGCCTTCAAGAAAAAACAACATTGCATGATGACTGAATGTCATTTTGTTTTTTTTTGCATTATATATGCAATGTAATGTATAGTACAAGCAGTTCTCATAATTATAATGCATGGTCTTTTGTTTTCATCTCAATTTTCTATCTTGATGGTTTGTTATTACTTTTCTTCCCCAATACTTGTATTCTCTAGTCATCTGAGTTTTCTCAGCAAACTGTAGAGACGACTGAGCATTATTCTCAGACGGCAAGTATGATGAGTGAAATTCTAAGAAACAAATCACATCTTGAGAGACTGACACTTTCTTCTTTTATTAAAATTCAAATCATATTTTTAAAGTTACTCTTTTCCATGCATGATTCTTATTTGTGCATGTGTTTTATTGTTAGAAATAATTACCTTCTTCAGCGGTTTTCAAATAAAAACAATAATTTTTCTACATCTCATAATTTATGCCTTTTAATTGGAAAAAGGGAAAAGTAAGTTTTATGAAAAATATATATTTCATTATTTTGTGAATTTTGAATATTCATTGAATATTTCCCAACTTTACATTTCAAAATTCTTGCAGTATTAACCGTTATTTGTAACTTACCCTTGACCCAAAAAAATAATGCATTATAACTTTTTAGAATTGCATATTGACATTACTCAGTAGTATTGGACAATTTGCTACTTATAAGTTTAAAGTAGGTTAATTGTGTCCATGTAATATCATTTTGCAACAATAAATAAAACAGAAAGAATTAAATTGAAAGTCTCTCATGAAGTGTGATATTTTATTGTCATGTCTGGTCTTTCCTAAGCTGCTTATGTAACATGTTGCTATACCTGTATAAATAATTGAAATCAGTGTTGTCATCACACCCAGTCTTTCCTGTAATACTTTCATTCCTGTTGATATTATATGGTTATTGAACTGGTATGACCTTGTAAACTGTAGATTGCAAAGCCTAAAACATTATGCATGGATGCCTGTGAGTCAACTGTAATATGAACGGCTGTTAGAGGCAATTACTGTGTATTACTACTTACATCATCCACTTCCCAGTCCAGAGTATATATGCATGTACATGTACATGGTTATTAAGTCCCTAGTACTGTATACCTACTGCTTATATGTGTTAGCTGTACCCTTGCAAAAACTATCTTATAAGATTCCTATATTATTGTGCTCAAAAGATCTTGTAAGAACTTAAATGTTATTCGTACAATATTCTTTGCTCATATTTAGTCCTTTCATTTACTAAAGTGGTATTACGGTAAAAATAGAAAATATTGTATAATTATTATATTGTTTTTTATCAGCTATCAAAAAAGACTGAATTTTTCTATTATTATTATAATTATTATTATTACCAAGCTGTTTAGTAATGAAAGCACTAAAATGTATCTTAATAATATCTACACAGTGGCATTCCTGATGTCGAGCAATGTTGATACAAGAATCCATATGATATTTTTTTGTTTTTTTTGTTCTAGCCTATCAATATTGTGTCGTCATATGTTTACCAATCTCATGTAAATTGTGAAACCTGTTTGCTTATTATACCTATAGTTTAGTGAATAAATTTTATGTCTGAATAAATAGTTGTACTGAATGAAATGTATAGCTAAGTACGAATACATATATGAGAGGATGGGTGAACAAAATAGCAACAAGTTTTTGCTCAATATTCGCCCATTATATAAGCAGGCATCTGCTACATTGTAGCTTAATATTCTTTTGACATGTGTTTTTTCTCTATTAGTCTGCTGCCACTAGTCCAATTCCATCCCGTCCATCATCATCTCGTCCAGGATCACGTATGGGTCCATCAGAAGAAATACAAAAGATTTTATCAGAGTTGGGTGAACTTTGTGGAAAATATGATAATGTAGATGGAAGAGTAACAGTCCTTGAGGTAAATTGATAGTGTACCTAATATGTTTGTGCATCATGGCATATACTGTATGGTGTATATGCACATACCATTTCAGTTGGTATGTCTGCCTAGCACCTGGGACATCAACAGTTCTATTCCTGTGGTTAGCTGCATATAATGAAATGGTAAAGCAAACGCAAAGAGGGTCAATTCTGCTCACTTGCTTCTGGGTATTATAAAGGACATCCAGTCATAAGGGTGGTGAAACTGCTGGTCCTAAGTGCGTTTCCTAGGCACATAAAAAAAACGCAGCTTCTTTGTCAGCAAATTAGCACAGGATGACTGGAGCTTTATTTGTGATGAATAGACTACCCTGTAGAACTGAGTTCAATAATATAATTAAAGTAATCATGAACTCATGGACTTTTTTCTCTTCTTCATTTTTGTCCTAAATCCTAATATCACTATATAGCCATACATGAACCAAGACCTAGTAAATGGAGTAATTTGAAACATGGGTGGTACATACTGTATAGTTGTTACCACAGTTACCAGCATTGGTGAGACCAAAGATTATGATATCCACCCTTGTCTTTTGTCATGTTTAATTTATTTACTGGTGTCATTTTCTAGGAAAATATGCCAAACAAAGTGGATAGAAGTGAAATGGATGAACTACTGGCAAACCAGCAAATACCAGATGATTTAGCTGCTCAATTAAAACGATTAAAAGAAGGTCTGGATACATTGAATAAGAACAAAGATAAGGTAACGTCTTTATTTTACATTCAATCATTAATTGTCATTTTGTTGAATAATACCTGAGGGGCTGTGATTATTGACAAATGTATTACATTATTTTAGTCTGTTGCAGATTAGAATGTTTGATCTCTCTTTCTTTTACATAACATTTCTCTGTTTTTTTTTCTCTCTGCTTTGTTTTTATGCATCTTACTATGCTACACTGTAGATTGATGAGATAAGTGATCTGTTGAAATCCCAAAATAATGATTTCCCTGTGACAATGAATGACATCACACAATTGCAGGACCACTTAGCTAGACTTGAAACTCAGCTAGAGAATGGACTGAAAGATATAGCTAAGCAATCACCACCAACAACAAATGAGTCAGGGGTTAGTTACAAATATTTAGTTAAGTTTAGTTTAACTGGTTGATGGTTATACTGCATGTAGTTTATAGTTGATGGTTGTTTAATTTTAGCAAGTTATCTAAAAATGGCTTAGTTTTAATTACTGTCTGTAAATTTGTTTGTTTAAAGTATTGTTTGTTTTCAGCATATTTGTTTAGTCTTATAACTCAGTGTTTGTGTTATTTATATTAAAATACTTAATTGTTTGGTTGATGGTTATTTCTAGTCCTAGTATTTATCATCACTAGGTAGTTGAAGTGTTTATCTATCAGCTAGTTTTAGTAATAGTTGAAGTTAAATTTAGTTGCAGCTAGTTGTTTAAATTGGAACAAGAGCACTGTTTAGTTTACAAAGAAACTGTTTACCTGGTAATACAACAAATGTCTTGAGATGCTAGTACTAGTAGTTCTATATTTGGCAATGAAACACAGAAAGTGATTCAGTTGACTTGTTCCAAGTTTAATGCTAGTTCATAAGATGTTACTGTTCTCAAGATAGTTTACTTTTTTCATATTGTCATCAGTCGTTCATGATGACATCTTTGGAGAGGACACTTACATGATGTCTTGATGTCCTATTTGTCTATTGTTTATATGTGAATAGAAATGCATGTACCTGGTATTGTTGTAAATCTTTTAATTCTCACACAGCCATTGTTTATCTGTCAAAATACTTGATGAAATGATTTTCTCATATTTTACGTTTTACCAAACATATATAGGTGACATTTAATATTGATCTACCACTTTGTGATTTGTGACATGCCATAGATAAACTTTGGTGGTGTGAGTGTTAATTAAGCTGTGTGTTTTACATTATTATTCTTTGTAGTATTATCAGTAATGAAACTTATTAGTTTATATTTGTATACATTTTATTACTGTACGAGAATAATTCAATGATAATTGTGTTTCTTTACTATTGTTCCATGAATTGTAAAGTATTTATTTATTGGTTATTTAAAAGTAATCAATATGTTTTCATGTGGGTTGTTAAGTCATCGTCAAGTGGAACAGTATGTGGCAATGTATTCAGTGGTAGTTGTCATACTAAAAACCACATCTATTTCAGTTTTCTGATATTGCTAAAAGACTTATACAGATGGAAAATCAGATAAAAATAAATCAACTCAAACAGGTGGTCAGTGATGCAGATTATGAAGACAATTCACTGGTAATGACCTAACAAGAATATAGTGTAGAACCTTTGCCTAGTAGTGATAACAAACAAATTTACTTGTGTATTCAACTTTTTTTTTGTTTTCTTGCTTTGTATTTTTTTTTTGTTCAGTCTTTTATTGATATAGAGAGTATACTGAAGGGCTATAGTCAGGATTTCAACAAACAATTGTTAGCCTTGAAAGATACAGTAGAGAGATTAAAACGAGAATTAAAGCTAAGACAGAAAATAGATGTATCAGCTGATGCATTTAGTCATTCCATGGTAAAGTAGTGTTTGCAATTTACTGTAATTATTTTTGTAATTTTCTGAGTAAGCAAACTATGCATGTTTTATATTGCCAATTAGTTGTTGAAGCATAAATCCTGACTTATGTGTAAGACTTTTTTCCATACGCATCCAGATTTGGTTACAATGCAAATAAAATAGATACTCATGCTAAAAGTATCATCATGTTATTTTGGAATTGGATTTGAAGTCAGAATTTTAATATTTTTTGTTGGTAAAATTGTAAAAGCTATTAAACAATTTGAAGACTTTGAATTGTAATGGAATGTTGTCGAGTTTGACAGTATGGTCTGAGTATACTCGATCCCCTTGTATCTCAGTGAAAAAAGTGGAAAATCTCAACTAAATAATGCAGTAAGTCAATGCTGGCATATGTAGTGGTGAAAGTTTCAATTGTTATAATTGCTATATTTTGATTACAGGACTCTGAATCTATCAATAACTTCCGTAGTGCTTTGATGCAATTACAAGATGACTTAGAAAAACTCAGCAATACTTGTACACAACTTGTTGATGAAGCTAATGCTAAACAAAAACATATAGATGTAAGTAATCTCTGATAGCTACTGCCTGTATGACATGATGTTCACACTCAACCCTTATATAAATATGTAGCTGTTATAGCAAGCATGTATGAATATAAATGATATGGTTGTATGTAGAAATATATTACAGGTAGTTCTTTGATTGAAATGTGAATAAACCAACTCATTAATTTGATACTGCTATTTATGAAGTCATATTAATGCATATTAATGAGCCAAAAAAAGTCCTTTTCAACTTTTCTTCTTTAATTATTTAGTCAGTATCTAAGTTCTGTAAATGATAATTTCCCAGGTGGATTGAATATTGAAATTAATATCTGTATAATTGTGAATGTGATTTGTTTGCAGGCTTTGTACACTTTCATTGATCGACTACAGGAGATTAAAGCAGATAAAGAACATGTCACTATGGAGATTGATGTGGTAAGTGTGTCATATCTGTGTTTCTAAAAATTCGGATTATTTATGTGCTAGTAGGTCACGTTCAGGGGAGCCATAAATCAATTTCTGATGTGCTTTTGTTTCATTTTGATTACAGAAAGCAGACAAGCGTGCATTGGAGAATAAAATTAGTCAACATCAGTTTGATGGTGCTGTTGGCAAACTGAATCAAAATGTTAGCGATCTACTACTTAGGTTAGGTGGACATGTAAGTATTTCCATTCATCCATCAGTCAACCCATCAATCCCCAGTCAACCCATCAGCCACCAGTTCACCCATCAACCACCAATCCGCCCATCAACCACCAATCAGCCACCATTCCACCCAGTAACCACCAATCCACTCAATCGTTGCTGTAGTATGCATAGTATATAACATCCAAGCCATCTCATGTTTTACTTTACCATTAAATGGCATTGTAAGAATGTGTACTGTAATATATGTATGATTCCCATGGCTAACAAATCTCCATATATAATTATAATTGAATACCTAGACTCTAGTTATTCACCAACTGACAATGAAATAGCTTGAAGTGATTAAAATTCATTTATGCACATAAAGAAACATAGAAAAATCCCTGATAATTGATGTTTTAAACTCATCTATATATTTTTTTCTCCCTGACAGCAAGAGGCTTTCGATAAAGCTATGCATCAAATAGAATTAGATATAGATACAAAATTAGATCGTATGGAATTAGATCCATTGAAGGAATATTTGGAGCGACGTATTAAAGCCGCTAGTGCCAAAATGATTAAAATACAGGCTGTCAATGATGATGAAGAGGTGGCTGGATTTAGAAAGTGAGTTCTCTTCTTAATTAATGTATTTTTGTATGTAGTATGTAGTACATGTACCAGTAGTATGTATTTGTGAAACACGCCTGCATTGTAGTATTGGTAAAAAACTGTTAACTAGTATGAAACTGAGAAGTCTCGTAATTCATGTTAGTGAAATGATCTATTAGAACACGACACAGTATATCAGCTTCTTTCATAAATTATGTTAAATACATGCCTTATTAAACATCACATAGTAATCTTTAATTGAACTTGTTTCCTCATTGGGATTTTGATTTAATGATGACAATAACAAAATCATATGGATACATATCCATGCAGGATATGATTCATCATAATGTACAGCATATCTAGATACGAGTCCAAACAGAGTTAAGGAAACTCTACAATATTCATGATATTTATGCATTTTTGTCTTCTTCCAGACCACTACAGCATAAAGTTCATTGTATATCTTGTGATAGACCAGTAGAACTTGTTACTCATGGGTAAGTGCAAACAACCAATGTAATAATCACTTCAAACATTTTACCTCACCAGAATATAAAGTTTTATGAAGTCTAACTCGTTATAGTCTTTATTGTGTATACTTTTCTTTCTTTACCACATAATTCTGAAATGCATATTTGATGTTTTGCTTGCAGACCTGTACCATCATTACCTGAGTCTAAGCCATTACCTGGCACACGCTCTGGTCGTCCTTACACAACATTTGAATTAGAACAAATACGAGCCAGCCAAAAGAGGTAAAGTTTTGATAAATAATAGAATAATTTATAGATTTAGTTTGCAATTCAAAGAGATTTGCTTTATTCTATAAGGCAAAGAAAATAATAGGTTGTTATATTAAATACTCCCCACTTTACACAATTGAGCAAATTGTATTAATTTCTTCTGTATTTTGCCATTTTTTGGTTTGTGATTTCTTCTCTTGTCATCCAGTGCAGTTGCATAGCAGATTTGATCTAATTTTGACCCTGTCCTTCGCTTTTCTCTTTGCTTTTCCCTAAAAGTAATATCTCCATCAATGATTTGTTCCATTTGTTATCTTCCCCATTCCATATTTCATATTTAAAATCATTTCATGTGTTATTTATATTTTGCTACATATTCTTTGTTTCTTTTGTACTTACTTTTACTTTGCTTGCTTCTTTGCTACTAACCATGCAGTGGTAGGGTTGGTAGAAATTCCAATATGTTTGCTAAATCCATTGAGGAACATGAATTAGCCAGGAAACGTAAACAAGATTTGATAGCTTACACAGTTCATTACCGAGATACCAAAGCTGATGTTTATCCAATCAAGTAAGAGACTTGTTTAGTAAATACTGCATGTATACAGGCAGTCACAGTAATAATCAAATGCAGTTAGCTTCACTTGCATTAATGCACACACCTTTAATATCACCAAAGCTTGCTGTTTCTGTTACAGCTTCTGTTCAGACATTTACATTATTTATAATCAATAATAGGTAGGCATAAACAGATTAGTAAGAAATACAGCATAGCTGATTTGAAAAGCTTTCTTTAAATGCCTATGATCTGACAGATCATGCTCAGAATGTGCAAATTGCAGTGTTATTATATTATATTTTTATATTACTTTTAAAATGTTAATTGAATCAAGAGAATATGCCTGCATCTCTTTTAATATTATATAAAGTATTAAAATAAACAAAACAATAGTTATTATTAATAAGATTAAGCAAAATTTTGAAGTCGATATTTAGTTTTTTTTCAATGCAGACATGATTAATATGAAGACAAGTAAGTGTGGACTTGAATAATAATTACAGTATATGCAATACCAGTTTTAAGCAAAATAAGTCAACAGATATTCAAGTGGTTGTTAACAGTGCAGGCAGGCATTATGGACCTCCAGTCATATTGTTACCATGTACATATCTTTGATTTCTCTGTGCAATATCACTTACACAAAACTTTTCTTGCACATTTTCTTTTATTACTGTGGAGACTAGGAATGTTTACTGTTGGGTTATATTTATTCTTGATTACATTGGTTGGTTTCTCTGAACTTGTTTTAGGTTATCCATGGATTTGGTTTACGATTGAGAAACTCTTAATGACAGTTGAAAATAGTCTAACCAATTTCTGTATTAACTGTGAATTCCATGATTTTGTGAAACTATTATTTCAATGAATGTTTTCTGAGCATCATCTACCGTAATCATGCATCTTTCAGTTTAACACTTAGACTCTAAAGGATGATATAAACAAGCATCCAAATAGCAAATAACAACTTCTCATTTGAATCAACATTTATGAATATTTTCAAAAATTTACAGTTAACAACATCCATGGGTAACTGTAGATCCTGGTACTTCTTTCATGTCTTCTTTAGCAACACTCATTCCTATCTGGTCAATTTAAAGAATTTTATTCATTTATTTATTCATACTAGCCATGTTATGAAAAACATTTCATGCACCCTTTCACTGCCAGCAGTGACCCCACTAAAAGAAAAGGTTTGTACTATTTCAAAATTTTTAGACTGAGAAAATAAACTTGCTAATATTGATGATAGTTTTCTCACATGCTATGTGGCATATAATAGATATTTGCATTACTTTACATATTTATAATAATTTTTTTCAGATTACTGACAATCACAAAATTTCAAGACTTAATTTTCATGTACCAAATTCATATGTCATCACTTGCATATTAATATGCCCCAGCTTTCCCTGTAATGATTGGCTTTTGGTAGATAGAGGGCGCAATACACTGCTGAGTTGTCTGGTTAGTCTGCCCACATTGCACTCCAAACTTAAGTTAAATTATCCCTATCAAATGTTATCATTATTTGAGTACCAGATGTTTGCCATTGAAGCATGGAAATAGTTTTTATTTCAAATCTGAATTCATACAACTGACAAAATTTTCACTTGTTATATTTTTTGTCATAATTAATTATCAGGCACAGTAGGTATGAGAGGACGAGGTAAGGATTGATGTACAGTGGACCTTTGCATGTCTGCATACAATCCATGACTTCAAGTTTGAATATGTAATTACAAACCGTACAGTTGTACTAGTCAGCCACAGTACTTTGATCTTTGTCATGTTGAACACTTCTATTTTCCACTTGATGTACACATGGCACCATTGCATTCATCCACAGTACTTTGATCTTTGTCATGTTGAACACTCCTATTTTCCACTTGATGTACACATGGCACCATTGCATTCATCCACAGTACTTTGATCTTTAATGTTGAACACTTCTATTTTCCACTTGATGTACACATGGCACCATTGCATTCATCCACAGTACTTTGATCTTTAATGTTGAACACTTCTATTTTCCACTTGATGTACACATGACACCATTGCATTCATCCACAGTACTTTGATCTTTGTCATGTCGAACACTTCTATTTTCCACTTGATGTACACATGACACCATTGCATTCATCCACAGTACTACTGGTGTATTCATACTGCCACTATTGCACTTCACACCTGTCAGCCAAAACATTCTGTATTATCCATACATTCCTATCAACCTATCAGATCACTGTCTATTAAATACCAATATTATTAGCATGTTTATTTATCAGCTTCTCCCTTTCCCTGTCTATTACAGATTACCAAAAAATATAGCATGCCTCTATTATTACAGCCAAGACTTTATTCCCCTTTTTTTATTTTAGCTGCTATGCTTCCTGCATGCTATATACATCTAATAGTTGCATACATTATTACAGCCAAGACTTTTCTGAGTATGCAGATCGCCTTTTTACACCACGCAGCGTTGGTGGTGCACACACCATTAGCACAAAACAGAGTCGGCGCAAACCATCTTCCTATGCTTTCCATACCAGGTATTTTGTATTGCTGGGTGCCTGCACTGTTACCATATGTCGCACTGAGTGCTTGCATTCTACTATGTCACAATAATTTGATGGTTCATCTATGGGATTTAATCCATAATGTTTTGTTGTTTGCATTTATATTTTGCTGTGTAATCTGTGTATTCAAGGAATGTTACTCAGCTTCACAAAAGTCTATTAAAGCAAGATTGGCATTTTACATGTATAATATGGTTTGAAATGCTGATGATGATAATTCTAACTGGCCAACCACGGTGACTAAAAAGCCAACCAATGACTAGGTGGTACTGTAAACAACTTTAATTTCAATGGAGAACAATTTTTGTTTATTTAATGTTTGCAAGTCAGGGAAAAATGCAGAGTTTTGTGGATTTAAACATGTTCTCTGTGGTTTTAAGACAGTGAGTCACAGTTACTTTGGGAAATTTTGACATGAATGCTCAAAAATGATTAATTCAGAAAAATTTATACCGATAAATTTTAAATGGTAGACAGTATATATTTTCTCCCACTTCAGCAGTGAGTGCTGATTGTTCATCACATAGCAGCCATGGTTACAAACATGCAGTCTGTCTTGTCTAGGCTTCTATGGCACATCTATCACATATTTTAGGCAAACCATCTGTATTGATATACTTTTAAATAAATAAACATTATGGCTTTTGAAATCTCTTGACAGACCACCTTCACTGTAATTGTATATGACTAATTTAGTGTATGTTAATTCTATAGTCAAAATATGACGGACACTGAGTACTATGTGACTTCACGTGCCTGTGGTGGAAGTCATACTATGACCTACCCTCATCGAAGAATTACAAGAATGACACATCTAAAGTAAGTATCTCTTTAATTTCTGTTTTTATGATAGGTCTCTATTAGAAGCGCATCTCAAATAAATGTGCATATAAACCAAAAGTTAGTTGTATAGTGAATCATTAAAATATTACTTATTTTGACCATGAAAACACCTCAAATACGGTAACCATTTAATTTATTCAGTCTGGAAAGAAATGTTGAATAGCAAGCATTACAATGTACAACTACAAAATGTATAAGAAAAAACTAACCTAATTTCCAAATGTAGAATCTATTCAGGGAATTAGTTTTGTTCTGATAAGATAACAGTTACTGTATCACAGAGTCTTACATAGCACAAATGAGTGAGTGTTGTTACAAATGAATTCATGAATGGCAAGATTTCCTCCTGAGATACATAATAGCTTGTACAATAGATCATGGCTATACGAGTGTGAGTAAACTTTAACTGACACTTCAAGTTGTTTATTCCATTCACTTGGTACACATTCATATTTGACTTGTGCTTCCTTTTAATTAAATTGTGAAGTGCCTTAATTTCCTGCCATGAAAACATACATGTAGTTAGAACATTGAGGTAAAAGACAGAAAGAGATACAACTGGTTTAAGCCTATTTCCTTTGTTATTGCATGACTTCTGGGTACGTATTTCGCTATTATCCAGGTGTCGCGGTTTTGAGATGATGGTTTTATTGTTTTATTGCAATCCATATATCCTCCTCAATCACGACTTTTTCAATTTCATTTACTTTCGCTGAATTAAAACAGTCATCAACTTCGTCTTCGCAAATGCATACACACCTTTCCAGTCCAACGGTTTTCAAATAATCCCACGGGCTCCTGAAATACGTCCGTTATCTTATCTGTAGATAATTTGTTGTTAGCTGCTAGATTAACAAGCAAACGTTATAATCACATAAAGTAAACGGCGGTAATGATCATGGAACCTTTGATCTTAAACTAGTTGTAACTCCTGTCTTTTACCTCCATGGTTAGAAAAAGTGTCTTTTAGTATTGCCTAACAAATAATCTAATGAATTGCATAAATATGAGAAATAGCAGATAAAAGTATAAAGTTTGTGACAATAAATTACCAGGGAGTAGATTGCAAATTTAGAAGTCTTGTAATAAATCTGATTTTTGTTGATACTACATTAGTCTATTATTCACTGTCAATTACTGACCATACACTACAAATTCATTTAGAAACAATTTACCTGTTCACATGACCATAGATTTGCATATCCAATTTAATTACATGTAACAATACATGTCCATAACAATTCGATTTGTATTATTTAATTTTTAATAGGCATAAATAACATTTCCCTTAATTGTAACCAGGACTGTGTCATTAACAATGACTTGTTTATTTACAGTCAGTTATTCCAGGATGAGGAACCACCAACTCCCATTGTATCAGGACGGTAAGTTTTTTTATACATTTTATGGACCCATTAAATCGTGCGATTTTATATTTTCATTTCTGTATTTGCTGTATATTGCTTTACAGATTAGAACCAAAAGTCTTAGGTCAAGGTATTTTTGAAAAGGTTAATGCTAAAAAAACTGCTTTACAGTTGTTCACTTTGTCTGTTTACAGTACGCAATTTTAATGATTTATTGTTTTTTTTTCTATGCTTTGATTTTCAAAACTGAAACGCCCTAAATATTGATGATGTTATAGCATGTAAGTAAATGGTGTAAAATGTAATGTTATAGCACTTGTATGATTCAATACAAGAAAACAATATATTCTCCACTGTATTGGTTAAAACATGTTTGCCGTCTTGTCAATATAATATTTGTTCTATTAAATGTGCATGTGCTTGGCCCAAGGTGATTCTTATTTGCATTTATCAAAAATAAACACGAATTGTCACAGATGTTATAACAAAATCAATTGAATGTGCAGTTATTTTTGTATTGTAAAGTTAATCGCACTGCTAAATTAAATGATATTTAGTGACGTTATGGGTCACAGAGCAATAAATATAATATTGTAATTGGTTTGTATAATGTAACAGTTCTGAAAATGAAGTTAATTTGCATGTAGTGAAATTAACGTTTAATTGTGATGTGGTGTTATATCATGTAATGAACAAGAGTGGACCAGCTTTAGAAAAATCAACATATTTGTTTGCATTGTGTTGGCAGGTTGGAAACTGAGTTACAAGGTGCTGATGGGCATATTTATAAAGGCCGCGGTGAAACTGATGATGATAGTAAACTACCAGCATTACCAGGGCAATCTGTTAAGGTAGATGTGATTATTATTATGATTAATAATGTGTATATGATGATTGGGACGTTTAAACTCATGAGAAACATGTGACACGTGTGTATGAATGTAAATCAAACTCATAACAGTGTAACATGTGTTGTAGGAGAAGATTAGTATGTTTTCTTTTTTTCTACTGTAAAATACTTTTTTTCACTTGGAATTAATTTTGACTATTTTCGCTGAAGGAATGAGTCAGTGAAAATAAAATCCAGTGAATATACCTTTTTTCTATATTTTACATTCAACTCGTCAAAAATCAGTGAAAACACCCGAAAAGTGATTCAGCGAAAATTAATTCCAGCTAAAATAAAGTATTTCACAGTACCCCCCCCCCCCCTGTATGTATAATGACCAGCAAACACACTTTAATATATGCTATCCCTGGTCATTGCTTTATATACAGAGTGTATCTAGGACTACTAAATCAACACATCCTATGAGTGGAAGGTCACGTCGGTTAATTACACCAGCACCAAGTTCAAACATGCCAGAACATCAAGATATACATCGACCAAGCTCAGCAGGCAGGCCTATGTCAGCTCGTCCAGCATCACGTCCAACGTCAGGCAGACCTAGTTCAGCTCGTCCAGCATCTCAAGGGTCGCCACGGACATCTCCTCAAGATGTTATTGGACCTCGCCCAGCTACTCCCTCAGGTGTGGCTGTTGAAGTACCACAAGCTGTTCCTGAATCTACACAGTTACAAGCAGAGGAAATCAGGCAATCTTCACCAAAGCCAGATGAAAACTAACAATTGTATTATAGCCTTAGAGGACTTGCATAAAACAATTTACACATTAGAAATTTTACTGTAATAAAAATATTTTAACAGTATCCAATACTTTTATCTGACGTTTACAGCACACATTAATCTAAATATTTACTTTAATGATGTAATTAGACTGATGACTTTTTTATAAAATTTAAATAAATATATTGGTAAAGGCGTTTGGTGACAATACACTTTTTACTAATACATAGCGCCCCCTAGTGGTCAGAATCTCTGGTTCTGAAAGTTTTTAACCCAGGGTAAAAAGATTGTAAATATTTGAATTACTTTGCTATGCAGGACATAGGTATTGATGCTATTTTCATATTTTCTGTATGATGCAATTTGGTTTTTAGTACCACATAACAAACTCATTATTAGTACAAATTCAAATTTTGAATTTTCAGATTTTTAAATATTTCCAGTTTTCATCATCAGTGCATTTTGTTGCATAGCTCATAGTTGCATATTACAAAATGATATTTTAAAAATGGATTTTACTTAAAATATGTTAAATTTAATTATATACTATCTTTACAATAAAACCAGTGCACTGCATCATGGGAGACAATGTCTTGTCATGGAATTTATTCACTAACTATACAAGAGTTCTATTGTGATTTCTTGTGAGTATTTGGAAAATAGAAGATCTCCTTCATTTATTTTAATTTCAAAGTAACTTTGAACCTCATATTAATATTCTAGAATGTTGTTTTCAAAGATGTTAAATATTTTAGTTACATTCAGTTGGAAATAGGCATGTAGTTTCATATTTTGATTGTTGCTATCATTCACAACTTAGAATGGGGTTAAGTGTTCAAGCAGTCTGTAAAAGCAACAGTATGTATTTTGTGCAATTCAGTTTCAACTACATATTTTTTTATATGTTAAATGATATCTTATTTACATCAAAATTAAATGTCCCACTATGCAATGTGGATGGATAATTGCTACTTGCTACAATTAAGCAAAGTAATATGGGACAAATCTTGGCTGTACCTGTTTCTCCATGTACATGTAGCCTATGATGTGTAAACGCCAGTGTTTTCTATCCAGCCAACATTACCCTCTTTATTCAGTGTATTTATGACTAATATTTTTACTCAAAAATTAAGAATAACAATTTAACATTGAATTGACTGGCAGATAGTGAATATTCATAAGGTATTTACTAGATAACAGCATAACTGTTAAGACTATCATATTAATATAAAAATATTTGATAAATAATTTTGAATTTGTCAGCACTGGTTGCTGCTTTTGAAATCTAAGTCGTGTCCATATTCAACTCTATTTCCTACATTGATTTACAATTTGATTTTAAACTATCCGTCCATCCATACTTTACCATGGAAGTCTTCAAGAGTCTATTCTTCCTGTTGTGCCAATCATAGAGCTGAATTCGTTTGCATTTTTCTTTGTTTTCAAAATTTAATCAAACATTGTTCATTTACGTTTCTAGAAATAGTAGTTGTGAAATTATATTGAGTAAATTAGTTTTGCAAGGAGGAATATTGAAAGACTTGAGAATTTTGTTGCAGTATGCGTGTGCCACAGCAAGAATTTCATGAGTGATTTATAGTATATTAGCAGCAACTAACAGATGAACTATTCTTTGATTACAAGTATTACAATTTCTACTACTATAGAGTATTCATTGAAATTGTTTTATGTATGTTGTTAATTTTATAATTACTTACATGTGTCTTGTGAAAGCAACCGTAAACAGTCACTCATGTAACATTCAATAAGACTTTTCTAATGTTCTACCAATAGTTCCATGCAAACAAGCAATTGGATCAATTTTGTAATGAAAAATTTAATACTGTTCTGTTTTTCTTACCCGTCATTTAATTCACCAACATAAGCCATACCATCAGGGTAGAATTTTATGTTTGCTAACCTAGCTGTCAATTCATTTCCTCACACATGCATATAATCAATAAGTTGTATTCTTACTAGCATCAATATTTTGGCATTTAGAAATTCATTTTATACTTGTGAAAATTCATTGACATGTACAATGTATCCTGATTGGCAATAAAAGATGAATGAAAGAGCTATATAGGGAAACTATATATTGTGTCTTTAATTGCAATCAGTATGAGCCAGATCATTTTGTTTCATGATTTTTTTTTTTTTTTTTTTTTTATAATAATTATGTGGTTAGCCTGAAACTAGCATGCTGAAGCAAGGTCTTACTTATATCTACAAGACCTGTGATCCTGCTTCGAAACTTCGAAAGTAGTGCCAGCCGAATCAATATGACTACTATGAGAACTGTTCATAGTGATTGCAGGTGTATGATCTACTGATCAAAACAGGGTACAAGTAAATAATTATTGCCAAAATTAATATTATTGCAGTTGCACCAAAATCTCCCTATGAGTAATATGTGCGTTCTTTGTTTGCATATCATTCAAATTAGACATTTGTCAATCAGCATAAATGCAAATAATCATATTTTTTACTTTAGTTGCTTCTTTTATGTGCAAAAATTATTAGTTAATTACTTATTATTTCTTGCCAAATATACTATTTTTCCCTGGAAAGGTCTTGTATCTGTTGCCAAATACCCTTGCTTAATGTTTATATCCTCTAATTAATTAATATTATTGTCTAATAGACAAATGTGGGAAGAAGTTACCACCAGTAGTCCTAACCTGAAAATATTTTGGGGTCACAGCTAGATGATGCAAGGTATCATGGGTAAAACCAGATGCAAATTTAATTTTAGCTCAAGTTCTTGTGCAAACATCACAACCCTGATAAGTGACGGGGAAGGTGTGGTTGGTTAGGTGTATTGGAGCATGGAGGTAAAATACAGAAGACAAAAGTCTTTCACCTCCATGATTGGAGCAATTAATTTGCGGTGAATAATAAACAATGAAACTAAAAAAGTTTCTAGTGATGGTGATTTTTGCTGGTAAGCTGGAAGATGGCTGTACCCTACCTAAGTAATTACAATATCCAGAAAGGGTAGCCAATAACCATCACTATGTGGATATTTAGATATTATTATCTAATAGACGGATGTAGGCATAAGTTGATCGGTTTGTCAGGAAGAAGTTTTTTAGATAATAGTAACGAACTCGGCTGCAAGTACATGGTCTTATGGAGGTTTTGTTGTGTGCCTGCATTTTATATTGATATTGTGCTGGGCACACCTGGACAGAATTATGGAATATGCCAGGGTAATGTACAATTGTAGCTTCCTCATGGATATATCAGACTCAATGACAATGATCATGACGAGACTTAGTTGATGGACACCCACAAGCAGTGCATTGCAAGTCATGGTGTTTATGTTCAGTGTTACTTCCCTTGCTCTAGAGGGCTGATGGGCGGTCACATACTGTAGAATACTTTATTTTCGCTTGGAATTTATTTTCGCTATTTTCGCTGAAGGGATGTTTCCAAGAAAATAAAATCCAGCGAATATACTTTTTTTCCTATATTTCACATTAAACTCATCAAAAAACAGTGAAAATAAATTCCACACAAAACACCAGCGAAAATTAATTCCAGCAAAAATAAAGTATTCCACAGTATGTAACTGACTGTATAGTATGTGTGAAAGAAATGGTCACAGAACTACTTTTTTGTAACAAACCATGAAAATGGCAATGTGAGAGGCATTTAACATTTGTTCCTATATTCTTTGTGACATACAATGAACAAATTATATGTCATTTATAAGATTGGAAATTCTGATTGTAACAAATTATTTTCCATCAAATAATGCATGGACATTTTTCCAAAAATCCAATGAAAACATGTCAGAATACACGACTTTATGATGGATGGACCATGGAAATGCATCAAAGCATGCACTGTTATGATTGATTTTGTTAACAGTGAATATAGATCTATAGGGTGAATTCTGCATAGGTATAATGGCTGGCAAAGATGGGCTGTGTCTGACTGGTTAAAAACAACACAAAACATGAAAGTATAATTGTTCTATTTATTGCCAGTGTTGTGAGACACTAAATAAAAGCACAATACAACGAACTACAAACTCAAAGACTCTGGCTGCTTCAGGAAGTAATGGTATAACATCAAAAACTGAACAACATTTTAATACTGGTTCTGATACAGTCATTCATTCATACATTTAAACAGAACTTGAAAATACAATGCAGAACATCTGATTTGCTCATTTAACTACTATGCATGGTATTAATACATATATTACACAAAGCTGTACACAGATTGGTCCCACAAAGTATCAACATCATGCAGGGTTTACTGATGTCATGTGCCAACTATGTACTGTAAAAGGGTTAATTATTCACTGGGTTTCAATTTTGCTTATTTCGCTGACTGGAAAATGTGCTAAATTAAAACCCAGTGAATATGTTAAATTTAGCATAGAACACATTATCTAAATGATAAAACCGTGAATTTAAAACCCACTGGATATGCCTGAAATGCTAAATCAGTAAAATTTAAACCCAGTAAAAATTAGTCATTTTACAGTATTAAGTCTAGTCACAGTGAATTTATTAAAAAGAATCCAAGTCTGTGTACCGGTATGCTATTTTGGTATTGTACAGAGGCTGCTAGACTGGTAGCATGCCAACAGTGCTCCCATACACTGGTATAAATTGCAATCAATTTAATATGTTACAATTGTTGATGCTTTAATACCTTTGGCTTGGCCACTTTCTTACCAAATCATGCAATAGTTGAAGACCTCACAGACCACATATTCCATCATAGATATAGACATAGACATAGACATAGATGACTAAGGACATTCTTCTATATAAAGTGAAACGCTATATAAGACTTATTTTCAAGTTCTATGGTGTCTGACTCATTAAAAAATCACAATAATGAATTATTAAAATATAATACTCACAAAATCCAGGTGACAATTCTACTTTTGGGTAAGCAAGTTTAAGTGAAAAAATAAACTATAAAATCATTGATTTTAACAGAGATATTAACTTATTAGCCTGTAATCTCACAGCAAATTGAAAGATTAAAATTAGAATAGAAACAGTGGTGTAAAACATATACCCACAGTATAATGTCAAGAATTTACAGTCTCCCCTTCAAGGTGTTGTAAATAACTTAATCATGTAAAAGGAAACAACAGTGTCACAAGTGGCAATATAGTTGATATCTACTAAAAAACCAAATTTCCCACCATTTCCCACCTGGTGCAGTAGCGTAATGTCTAAACATCTTCAAAAATACTATAAAAAAATAAAACTTTACAAAGAGACTAAAATAACCTTTTTTTACAATTGAACATTGATTAAAAATAACCTTTTTTCAGTTCATTTTAAATAATATAATTTTGTGAGACAATATTTTATGCAGAGACTCATTGTCAACAAAATATATTGTAGTGCGGCTTTGTGATTATGCAATAACGGCTACAAGTATTACCCGGTACCAATTGCTACTGAACATACGATGTCAGTCCACTAATCATTACTGGTTTAGACTGGTTGTTGTTAGCTATCACAGGTTTGCACAGACTACTACCAGTTAAATGGTTATGGTTTGCCATAATTGCTACCAATTATCACAAATCTATAGATATTACATGTTTGCACATACTGCTACTAGTTTGTACTAGTTTGCAAGAATGCTATAAGTTAATACAGGTTTACACCAATTGCTACCAGTCATTACTGGTTTGCAAAGCACCTACATATTTAATACAGGTTTGGAAGTTTGTTACACTTTACTAAATGTACATGGACTGGCAGAATAAGGGTTTCACTGCAAGACAGCCTAGTTGTAAACCATTTGTTTAAACTATCTTTGATCTAAAAACTGCTAACCTGTAGTATCATGAATATTCAAGGAATAACTGTCATCACAACTGTATATGTGCATTTGCTCTGCTTTTAACAACATTCTGTTCACTATGACAGAAGTGATGACAGTGACTTATGGTCAGATAGCTAGTCCTTTATAATCACAACTGACCTTTATTTATGATTGATCAGCCCAATATTCTGTTGACCCACACCAATCTGCTAAATTATCATTGAGTAGTACTCAACACATGAACAAACACAGTTTTAACAAGTGTCCCTTTAAAAACCACAACTGCAGAGACGGTATATATGGTAACATAAAAACACCATGGCTCAAGAAAGTTAATTGTACACTCCCTTCCTGGAAATATGTTAAAACTAAGTTTATAATATGAATAGAGTAACAACAAATATACACAATGTAATACCACTACTTATTCAACAATAGCACCTAAATTAAGCTATTTACAATAACTGTACAAGTGCATATGAAATGTAAATGTGACACATAAAACACAATCTTGGCAAGATATATTTAACAAATCAAAACAATTATAAATCTCCAGTTTGCATTCTACAATTTTATATTGCAAACAGATATACAGTATTACATAGTAATTGACATAGCAGGACTACTGTATAAGAGGTAATACTGCACTGGACTGTCATGGCATGCTTCCATTATTATGAACCAATACTGCACTGGACAAAGCCAGTACTAGACACTATAATGTATTTCAGTTTCTCTTACATGAACAGTAACAAAATAAACTACCATGGTACAATAATATAATATTTTTACCATTAATTATTATTATCGTAAGTGAATTGAACTAATTATATAGACAATCTAAGTACACAATAAAGTGTTCTTTAGTGAATTGTCAAAACAACTCAAAATGTATCACCCTGTATTTAAAAACAACAATAAATGTAACACTTTAAACTTGTATATATCTTTGTATGAATATTGAATGTAATTTTTGGTCACAAAGTATGCCACTATGTGCTACTCAGCTACTAGATGTGCGTATTGAAGCATATACATGAAAACTAGAAAGTGTCCTGACTCCTTGAATGCCAATAGAGGCATGCTTTTATATTCTATCATATACAGTAGTATACTGGAATGAATCTTTTCGCCTGAAGAGAAATCTTTCAGTTGACATTGAGGGTGACATTGTGTGAATACAAAGCCAAACAAGACATTATATTCTCTGAGATGGCAATCATCAATCCATTGTTATTTTTTTTTATTCTCAATGATTCTTCTATTGTCCGGCTGTAAAAACAAAGAATACAATAATTAAGAGTGGATTATATTTGTAAATCAAGTATGCCTCGTAATTTTGTATTATCAAGTTAAAATAAATTGCAAACCTTACAAATATACTTATATATTAAAACAAAATAACATTGAGAATTACACTAGTAGATTCTCAACTGAATCAGCCTTAGAGGTTTTAACTTCAATATTTTTAACAGTGGCTTACAAAATCAGAGAGTGACAAGGTTTATTTCTAAATACTAAACATAGAGATTACTGCATGTATGGACTTACTGGTAATATACTGAAGGAACATGTCAGATCACTGGATACAATCATCACACCACCAGCATTGTCAAATTCTCCACAATAGTTTGGAGCACTAAACAATGTGACAAGTTTTCTTTTTTGAAAGAATTGGTAACCATCTTCAACCACCTGTAAAAGTACAATAAATGTTAACTTATAGCAAAGCACAGAATGACAGGACTGTTTTAGTTGCATGGTATTCAAATTAATTATTAGATGTCTGACTAATGACTTATGACCAAATTCAACATTTTTATAAATTTAGTCTGAACATTTCTTGAATATGACTGACACAAGTTAATAATAAAAACAAAAGCAAAAAATGCCTTTGTTTTTATGATGTTTGGGGGGGGGGGGGACAGTCAGCTATCTTGAATCTGGGACATGTTACTTCACATATACGTGTCAAAGTGAGTGAATGAGATCTTTCTGCATGTCAATAAATCACTGTCAGACACACCCTCATCCATGGATGAAACACTGTGGATATAAAACCATGATTCTTACGGTATGCAATGAAGAACAAACAAATGATTACCTGATGTGCTCGTACTATGAGACTACAATCTTGTTTCTTCAGAAATGATCTGACAATATCACCACCAAAGGTATACGATACACCTCTGTCATTCTCACCCCATCCAGTTATATCCTACAAATTAAATATACATACAGCAATAATTTTACATAAAAATTAACAACTTGGGATACAAATATTCCCAACCTATGCCATAGCTGTAACTATTTAGTGTGAATAAAGTTTGGCTCTGTGATTCACAATTTTAGCTAATTAAAAAAACATTAATAACAAGTGACTGCATGGTAAATGAGTGTCAGGTATTACCTCATCTGGGTCTGACCATAACAGATCACAGACCAATCCTGAATCTGGTACATCTAATGGTCTGTCAATCTCTCGTACTTGATCCAAGTCTTCTAAATCTGGTGATAAACCACCATGCATACAGAATATTGTACCTTCTACCAATGCAGCTAGAAATTATATTAGAAAGGAAAAACAAAAATTATACACATAATCAAAACTAGTTAAAATCTAACGATGTGAACTAGAAACATATCAAACCTGTGCCCACATATGTAATAATAATAACTTATACTGATTTTATGAAAGACCTAAAACCAAATATCTCCCTGCACAATTTAGGCAGGCATTACCGGTACTGTACATTCCTGTGACATGATACACACAAATAGAATACCTGGTACTAGTAGTTGTTCTTACCAATTGGAAGACAGTTAAAGCAGTCTGTAAAAGTCTTCCAAAGTTTGATGTTATATCTTCGTTTGCACTCATCATAAAATCCATATATCCTACATAAACATAAAAGCAATATTCAACATTACAAATGACATTAATGATATCCAATGAACGACCCATGATATCATAATATTCACATGAATATTACTACACTCACAAATTTTGATTTTCTATTTATCACATTTGCAACTATTTCCTCAATAGAAAGTATTAACATCACTTTTGTTATTTGTGTGTGCTCATCCTAATCTTATTAGCACATCTGATCTCATTTGCATATCAGAACGCCACTTTTTGTTTATTAACTGCGATCAATATATTGTCGTCAATATAATTCTGGTTATAGCAACACATTGGCAACCTTTTGTGCAATGTTGCGGTAATTGAACATTTCATGAGAGATTCAAGCGAAATGAATCACGTGTGTTGCCAAGATTGGGTTTGGAGAATTAGAAAAGACTGTGTCAAATTTGACATTAAAGCACAAAGAGATCGTTGATGGCTGTATAAAATTATTGGTATATTGCAGAAACATTCAAATTCACCATATTTCAAACAGTTATTATCAAAAATATATTTTGCAGTTGACAAATAAACGAGGTTTTGGTCTTCTAAGTGATTGTCGGCAGATGACGTAATGGTCTCAAATTGCCAATAAAGTGCATGATATTGGGGTGTGATACTAGTATTGAAATATTACATATATGCCTATCATTCATTTATTCATAAAGCAGTGTTGTACACATCATATCATATAGTTCACTCACTGTATTATTATAACTAATTTGCATTTTGTGCACCAAGCAGTTGCACCAATAATAAGGGCAAGTGATGTTTAGACAACTATAAGATAATTACCTGTTGATACTGGCACACTCATGATTACCACGTAGAAGAAAAAAGTTATTGGGATACTTTATTTTGTACGCCAACACAAGACATATTGTCTCCAATGATCTTTTACCTCTGCAATAAAAATTAAATAATTATTAAACAAGATCAACTCATATTTTTTCTCACAACTTTACCGAACCTGAGGATTTGTTGCATCATTAAGAGAAGTATTCAATTAGTTCCTGACCATTATAAGACATTATAAAGTCCAATTGTCTGCTAGACGCATTTGTCTCTTGTTAGAAGAGAATCTAGCATAGCACACATTGATTTTGGGTTAAAAAAACATCCACTAACATATTTATTTGTTTATTTTCTACCACTCTTTTTATGACATGTTATGAACAAGTCATTGTCAATGACACGTCCCCGTTCCGTTCATATTTGAGTGACATATACATTCAAAGCAGATCGTGACCGAAATGCACCTGCATATGTACAACACATTATACTAAATCTGAACAAAATCCATCCATGCATGACTGAGACCTGGTTCCGGAATTGTGAAAATACGTGATTTTAATGCATTTTCGACTTTAAAATGGCCATCATTCAGCTATTGTTAAGCGGATCATGAAACAAATACACATATCTATTTGTGACATGATGTACCATGTGTGTGTGAAGTTTGAACTTGATCAATCCAGACATGTCTTGGATACGGATCCAGAACTGAATTCTTTAAGAAAATGGCCGCCAGTCGGCCATTTCGAACTTGATCCGGGGAAAAAAATGACGTGCATCAAGGTCCTATTATGTTTAATGTAAGTACCAAATTTTAACGAAATCTGTCCATGCATAACTGAGATCCGGGTTCGGAATGGTGAAAATGTGCGATTTCAATGCATTTTCGGCCTTAAAGCGGCCGCCATTTGGCTATCGTTAATGAGATCATGAAACAAATGCACATACATATTTGTGACATGATGTACCTTGTGTGTGTGAAGTTTGAACTTGATCAATCCAGACATGTCTCGAATACGAATCCAGAACTGAATTCTTTAAAACAAAATGGCCGCCAGTCGGCCATTTCGAACTTGATCCGAAAAAAAAAATGACGTGCATCAAGGTTCTATTATGTTTAATGTATGTACCAAATTTGAACAAAATCCGTCCATGCATAACTGAGATCCGGGTCCGGAATGGTGAAAATGTGTGATTTGGATGCATTTTCGGCCTTAAAATGGCCGCTATTCGGCTATCGTTAATCGGGGCATGAAAAAAATGCATGTGCATATGTCCCATATAATGTGTGATGTATGAGTGAAGTTTGAACTTAATCGGTCCATGCATGTTCGAGATACAGGTGATCACAAACGCACACACGCACGCACGCACAGACGCACGCACGCACGCACGCACACAGGGCAAAACATAAGTCCCCGTTTTCGGACTACGTCCGAACGGGGACTAAAAAACATGAAAAATGTCAACTGGCTTACATGTACTGGGGTATACTGTGTTTCAAATGTTATGTGGCGCCCTCTATGCCACCTACCCTTACTGAGCTGTCTAAACTCAAGAATTCAGAGGCTTAGCCGGGACATGAAGCTATAATGGCTATAATGGGGTTACTGACATGTATATATGCACATGGGAAATGAGCTTACAAAAACAAAATCTGACTTAATTTCTCTTGAGTTGTTATAAAACGTTAAGCCAGTTAGCATGATGAATAACTGTCAGTTTACGTAGCAGATAGTCTTTGGGAATTTTTTTTGTTTGTTTTTAAAAATTTCATTAAAAAACACATTGTCATTTTTTTTTCCCCATGAAAAATGCATGTTTTTCTCCTCTCATAACAAGTGCACAAGTTTTTGTTGACTTATGGTACACTGTGTTGTCAAACATAACTATAACAGGCTCAAGTAGATGTTAATGAGGACTAGCTTTCATGTCAATTACAAACATAAGGTTATTTACAAGGGAAGAGGAAGTCTCCTGAAATTGACCAAAAAAACAGTTCAACTGAAATATCAACAGACATTTGTATCTTAAAATTCCTCCATGGCATGTTTTCAAAATATTTATAAATCTAAGTGTCTGCAAGCCACAAGACAAGAGAAAACCTTGCTGAAAGTACAGATTCACAAAAATGTTGTTTTGACAGTTGGACAATGAATGTACCGGTATTACCTGTCAACATAGTCTCCTAAGTAAAGGTAATTAGCTGTTGGTGGGTATCCACATCTATCAAAGTGTCGTAAGAGATCATCATACTGTCCATGAATATCACCCACAATATTTACTGGTGATTCCAACTCTATCAGCATCGGTTGATCTAAGAATACTTGTCTTGATATCTGACATAGCTGTCTTATTTGGGTTTCAGGTAACTGTACCTATAGAGAGACGCACACATAAAATATAATGAGTTTGTTAATTCATAAAATCTGTTAAATAAATGGCACAATAATATTATTGTTTCTAATGAAATAGAGTAGGTACAGGGGTCAAAATTCATGGAGGCCATTGGGCAACTGCTTTGGTGCCACACCTGGATGTGTTAATGTCTTCATTCAAACAATTTTGTTGAGAAATAAAAATAATCTTTTGCATGCAAACAACCTGAATTTCTTCTTGTGACTGCCACCAGAGTAGGTAGTACTGGTGATATAAATCACTTGTGCCATCTGACATCGGGCTGGGAGAAGTGATGGACTTATAATATTATATTATACAAGCAGTATGTCAGTTAATTGAATTCATTACAGTAATTACTTATGGACCCCTGGGAGTCAACTGGCCTAAAATATTATATATCGCACTACATGTATATATGGTTGAGGTATTTTTTTAGGCTACGAATGCTAATAGCATTGGTATCTTGCAAAAATAAACTAAAAGACATTATGATAAAAGAGGTTCATGTGACCCTTCATGCAATTATCACGTATGATAAAATATTAGGACTCATTCATTAATGGATTAATGGAACACTTTATTTACTTTATTTAATCAAAAAATGGGCATGAAACACACACAAAAATCAAAATGGCCACCAATCAGACAGTTTTGAATAGAACTGTGAAAGCATTATTAGATATTCAATTTCTTATCTAAGATTATTACATCTAATTAGAATGATTGCTATTACATGTACACAACAATTGATTGCTAGACAATTAAATAACATGCAATAATCCCTTATCAAGAATTATCATTTTCACATTTATTCCTACTCAGTACATTTGCAAAAGCCACTGAGAGTGTTATAGACCTCTCTCTTTTCTTGTATTTATGGCAAATGGCCAAATGCTAGTAGACATGTCTTGAACTGCAAGACAACATAAGGAATAAACATGTGAGCTAATAGATGTAAATGTGAGCTAATAGATGTAAATGTGAGCTAATAGATGTAAATGTGAGCTAATAGATGTAAATGTGAGCTAATAGATGTAAATGTGAGCTAATAGATGTAAATGTGAGCTAATAGATGTAAATGTGAGCTAATAGATGTAAATGTGAGCTAATAGATGTAAATGTGAGCTAATAGATGTAAATGTGAGCTAATAGATGTAAATGTGAGCTAATAGATGTAAATGTGAGCTAATAGATGTAAATGTGAGCTAATAGATGTAAATGTGAGCTAATAGATGTAAATGTGAGCTAATAGATGTAAATGTGAGCTAATAGATGTAAATGTGAGCTAATAGATGTAAATGTGAGCTAATAGATGTAAATGTGAGCTAATAGATGTAAATGTGAGCTAATAGATGTAAATGTGAGCTAATAGATGTAAATGTGAGCTAATAGATGTAAATGTGAGCTAATAGATGTAAATGTGAGCTAATAGATGTAAATGTGAGCTAATAGATGTAAATGTGAGCTAATAGATGTAAATGTGAGCTAATAGATGTAAATGTGAGCTAATAGATGTAAATGTGAGCTAATAGATGTAAATGTGAGCTAATAGATGTAAATGTGAGCTAATAGATGTAAATGTGAGCTAATAGATGTAAATGTGAGCTAATAGATGTAAATGTGAGCTAATAGATGTAAATGTAAATATTCAGAAAGCTAGATATGGCATGAAATGGGTTTGAATTTTGCTAAAAAACAGTATCTGTGGTCAAAAATCATAAAAACTAAATTAGTCTGACCATGCTGAATCCAGTTTTGTGATAACTGAACTGTCATTTAAAAAATCTTATCATTCACCTTTCCACCACCAGTTCCCTCTTTTCATCACAAATTCACAAAATACCAGGGTAGTTCTGTTTATAGTCTGCACTTTTTTTATGAAAGTTGGGACAAACATTGACTCACTTTTTGCCTGTTTGCTTCAAAATTAGGGTGCACTTCCAGAAATATTAAAGAATATAAGAAAAAAAATGAAAATTCGGGCGAGAAAGTCTGGTAATGAAAAGGTTAAAATGAAAAACAGGAGGGAGTAATTTTTATTGGTCACTGTTTTCATGTAAAAATCAATTATAATAGTTTACTAAAATCTATGGAGATATTCCTCATATGGATGGATGATGTAAAACAAATGCAGCTATGTAAATAAAGTCATAAGAACTAACATTTTCTGTTCTATAAAGTCAACTACTGAGTAGTAGCCTGTCAGTTCAAATAGTTACACTGTTGAGATGAATAATGTGAAATAAAACATCAAAAAAATCAAACTAGTTTTCAAAAATAATATGTCAAAAATAGAGAATTGATATTGCTATGAAATGAACAAATCTGACAGAGGTCCACCAAAGGTGCCTACTAATATAAATATTTGTTCAGTGTATGTTATTTAAAATAATATTTCACAACATTAGGATCGATATTGCATCCGGAATGTAGATTAACAACACTACAAACTTCATGCAGTTAGTCATTACTGGTTCCTGAAAACTAAATTATGTATGACTATGAGGTAGACACTTTTACAGTCATGTTTGTTCTGTTTTCTGGGTCCAGTAATTAGTATTTTGGTTAAATAGGAAAATAGTTGTGTTGTGTAAATTTCTTTGTTCAAAATTCAAAATCACTTTAATAATAATATATTTTTCCATAATATTTGTAATCATCTAGCTGAGTGCAATGTGATATTATATTGTCTTTGTATATTGCTTAGAATGAATCTGAGCAGAAGATGTTAATTAACAAGATAGAAGAAAGACAAGTTCTATTTCACTATCTGTTCATTATATCCCAGAATGCCAATGGATTACCAATGTATGCCCATGATAACCATGAAGTATCTGTAACTACTGTTTGATTTACATTTGTACCTATATTATATATATGATGCAATGGGCATATTGACTCATGCACCTATTCTTGTTCAAATGTAATTAAATATTGCAAAATGTCTAAAATTATGTATGTACACTTGGATTATGGCTAGGATTTTATGGGAAAGCTGCAAACCTCTGATACATATTTTACCTTATAAGGTTTATTATCAGGTTTAGTTGATATGAATTGACATCATGAATGTAAAGTGCAACTTAACAAATTAATTCCCATGAAATCAAGAACATTTATTGCTGCTTCTTATACTATAGAAACTTAGTTAGTAGAAGGTATGATTGGCTCTAAAAATTGTAACATTTGTCATTGTTCTAAAATTTCTTTTTTCATTTGGAACAAAATTTACATAATTTTTCCATTTGTTACAAATCTTGATCAAAATCTTTTAAAAAAAACTGCTGGTTAATTTTGTGAAAAATTACAAAAGTTGAATTTGACACTCACGTTAAATGGGTTCAGATATTTTTTTTTTATGTACATGAAGATTTATGTGCATTCTCAGACCATCATATCTTTACTACCATATTTAAACAAAATCACTTCAAGAGCATCTGAGAAATTCAAAATGGCCACTAGTCACTATTTTGAATATAATCACAAACTCATTTGAGATTTTAATACCAGCTGTCATGAAATAAATAAATCTGATAGAGGTCCATCCAAAGTACCTACACCAAGTATCAAAGCAATTGAGCCGGTAGTTTTCAAGAAGAAGTTGAAAATGACATTGTTGATGGACAACAGACAATCACCTATATGAACAGCTCCGCTCTGTCATATCTTCAATGATAGCAGTGCAAAAAATGGTATTAATTTTAATATATAAATATATACCGGTATATACATGTATATACCGGTGTGTATATATATAAATTCTCATAGAATTTTGACCAACAATTACATTGCATCATAATTCAGAATGAATGAAGCATAATTCATAGTTGTCATCAGCTAATGTATAGCATTCAAATTTCCATGGTTACCAACCAACCCTATGAAAACTAATTAATTTGTGAAATATATTGTAACATGAAACATGATGATTAATTATCCAATATATCATGTCATATTTCACTACTACAATATCTAATTAATGACCATTGTTGATGACATCTTGATTTATTGCATTTAATAAAACTTCAAATAATTGTAATTAAAAGCTATATTACAAAACATAGGGAAATGAAAAAAATTAAACAGTTGAATTATTGGTTCATAGAAGAAATTACATTATTTTTAAACGGTTGAAGTTAATTATTTAAAGTCAAAATTTGAACGCAAGGAGATTCTCTCAGTCAAGTTGTGATGATTCTTGTACATTGCTTATAAAAAGAAAAATCTGAATAGTATATTCAGTATTTCACACAAAGCTGATCATCCACACTAAAAGATTATTTTTTTTATTTATCCTATCATGAATACATCATTCACAGTGATGTGCCACTAGCATGTATTCAAAATTATAATTTGCTAAAAATAGAAACACACTGATAAGATCACTATAGAAACATAATAAAGCAACACACCACAGGTATTGTCGTTGTGGGATACTCAATGTATATGAAAGTAAGTCAAGAATAGGAGAGTTACCCAGGTAGTTTGCTGGCAGTTTTATAATTAAATTTATATGTAAAGTCAAGTCTAATATATGACACCAAGCAGTGTTTGTCAGTCTATGTTTCTCAAAAATCATTATACATTTTGGGCAATCACTAGAAAGCACAAGCTGCTCTCAACTTCAGAGTTGAAAGGGCATACCGGTATCCATTTTCATTAGCACATAGAAATAACATTGGGACTGTCAAAGGGCACCTACATGTATGCAAACTCATTGGCATCATAGCAATGATTCTTGATGTCTTCATAAAATTGAAGCCCTGCACCCTGATGAAATACATTTCTTGAAAGTTGGCCTGACAAATTTAGACTAGAGATAGAAGATTAAACGCTGCTAACAACCTGCCCTTTGGCTATAGAATTTCTCAACTCCTGTTCAGATTTATTTGATTTTTTTTTTACTCACATTTTTTGGGAGGTCTGGTTTCCCTTCCACATGTTTTTTGGCAAAGGTTTCTCCTGCCCATGAAATATT